TTAGTGAAGAGATGCTATAGCACATTGCAGGGGAGTGCCACAGATAGAATCCTTGAAGGGTCTAGAAGTAAATGACAAAGAACTTTGATTGTTTTTTTTTTTTTTTTCTTTTTCTTGTGGGAGGGTGTGGGGAAGCAAACTGCTCCTTTCTGATGTAAACTTCTATGCTATTGAAGGTGAGATCTAGTTTGCAGTTGCCAGCTTGGGGCTCAGATTCCCTCCAAGATAGTTGGTGCACTGCAGCCGGAACATCCAGAATAGACCAGGTAGGCTGCACAGTGTATGTTTTTCAGGATTTTGGGTAGGAGTTTAGTATTTATATTATGATTAGGATTGGTATTAACTCTCCAACTATGCCTGTTCTATTTAAGCATATGTCAGAGGACATTAAACCAATTTGCTTTTTTAAGCGTCACTTGATTAAAACTGTTTTATATAAAATCCTATTTTCTAATTTAAAAGTAATTTATAATCATTTCATGTTTCCAAAACAAAATAAATTTGTTTTTAGGAAAAGGAATTAATGAAACTTGGGGTTGTAAGAGCACCTGACTTTAAACATCAGTGCAGCTGAACAGATTTTATCTCTTTTTAGAATTAATTGCAATTAGTTACAAAATCATATGTGTAATTAACATTCAACTTCACATTTCCTCACGTTTTGCAAAAGTTTTTAGTAAATCTTTCATGAAATCTGCTACATTTGTCCTAAGACTTTTTCTGGTGAAGTCCTGTCATATTTTAGTTTTTCTGCCTTTATAAAGAACTTCTTCATCCTATAGTATTTACTTCATTCTGAATTTTATTAGTCCTCCTTTACTGTCTTCTTCCAAATCATCTGTTTCCTATGGATTAATTCTGAGTCAAAAAGCTGGGAGTCATTGTTAATCAAATTACTTTCAAGCCCTGGGTGGTTACAAAATACTAATTTCCAGGAGACTGATTTTTAGTGTATTCTGGTACCTGGTGATGGAGAGGGTTACAGAACAAATAGACAAAACCGAGCCCTTATAGATGAGAATTCTTTCTTACCTTACCGAGTCCATGTTTGCAAGCATGGACTTGACATTGTGGATGTCCACTGAATGGAGCTGTTTTATCCTTAGCTGAAGTTCTTCCTTCATTAATGTATCAACATGTGAGAGGATTTTGCAAATATTATATGTATTACAAATACACTTATTTGTACAAGCAAATGAATGAGCCATTCATAAATACCATTGTAATCTAGAGGGCCAGCACTGACTTAAACTGTCACCCATAAACAGCTGTTTAGAACAAGTTTTACCTATTTTCCAAAGTAGTCCTGTCAGGGTCTCTCCTTAAAAATACTGGTTACCTTTTTATATAATTTATAGGAGCTCTAGTGGTGTAGTGCCTAAGGCATTGGACTGCTAACCAGAAGGTTGGTGGTTCAAACCCACCAGTCGCTCCATGGAAGGAAGATGGGGCAGTCTACTTCAGTAAAGAGTTACCTCCTTGGAAACCCAATGGGAGTTGCTGTGAGTCGGAATAGACTTACTGGCAGTGAGTTTGGTTGTTTGGTTTTATATAATTTGCAATTTACTGCCTTGTTAATGTTAAGTTAGCTATCTTTGTATTTCTATTCTTGCCCAGTTAGGCATAAACATTTTTATGGTAGCAGTTATGTTGTTCAAATCAAATATGTCAATGCCTAGGAAATGGTATGTTTAAAGAAGAAAATTATAATTATTTTGAAGATGGTAAGGATGTGTTAGGAGCTCTGGTAGCATAATGCCTAAGGCACTTGACTGCTAACCAGAAGGCTGGCGGTTCAAACCCATCAGCCACTCCTCGGAAGGAAGGTTGGGCATTCCTACTTCCATAGCGATACTGCCTCGGAAACCCAAGGAGGGGTCACTATGAGTCGGGGCCGACTCGATGGCAAATAACAAAATAATATAAGGACATGTTATTTTAGGTAGAAAGTAAAATGATTGTTCTAAGAGTATGTGTGGGAAGAAGTAGCAGGGTACATGTATGATAGGGATAAGTATCTATGGAGAAGAAAGCAAATTCTGTGGATGTGTGTGGATTTTGAGAAATCAAGTTACTGAAATGTGTTCAGTTGGTGGAAGGGCCCGTGGGACCACCATGGACAAAGCTTCACTCCTCCCATCTCAACTTCAGTCAGAGCCACTTTGCTTTTACCTCTTTGTAACCTGCCGAAGGTTGGGAAATCTACTTCCATAGTGATACTGCCTTGGAAACCTGAGGAGGGGTCGCTGTGAGTCTGATCTGACTCAGTGGCAGGGAGTTTGGTTTTTGGGACGTGCCAATTCACTTTCGGAAAAAAGAGATTTGGTGCCTAAAGATACATACTCTCTCACTCTCACTCACACAACACACACACATACACACACGTACATATGTCTCTGGGTGGTACAAATGGTTAAGCGCTCAACTGCTAGCTGAAAGATTGGCAGTTTGAATCCACCCAGAGGCGCTTGAGAAGATAGGCCGGATCATCTGCTTTGGAAAGGTCACAGCCTTCAAATTCCTATGAAGTACAGTTCTGCTGTGCAGCACATGGGGTCGCTATCAGAATCTTCTCAGCAACCAACAACAACATACATACACATTTATGTACACAGAGACACACACATACGTATAGAGACTTTTTTCTTTTTTTCATTTTGGTAAATTGCTGGTGTACCATATGGACTCTGAGGCAGAGGTACGATGTCACCAAACTGAAGACAGCAATGAAAGAGAAAGATAGTGGAAAGTGATAGGAACTGGAAGGAAAGGTGTTCTAAGTCCTTCCCCAGTCTTGGTGACATTGGATAATATTTTGGTTACTTCTGTGCTACTCTAAAATACCACAGATTTAACAAACAGGAGTTTATTCTTACAACTTTTGGAGGCTAGAAGTCAGAGTTCAAAGTGCCAGGCTCTAAAGGCCGGGTGAAAGCCCCTCAACCTTGGGCTTCAGCTCTGCCTCTTGCTCCTGGGTCACTGAAGCTAGAGGCTTTTTTTTTTTCGCTCAAACAGCTGCTGGCTGCCGAGGCTGACAAACCCAAGGTTGACAAGTGCAAAGGCACCATTCCAATATCACCTAACTACAGGGCAGGCCACTAATTCAAGTCCAGAAAAAGTCCCAAAATAGGCAGAACATGGCAGAAGCTGTTGAAGAATGACTTGGCTACATGCAGGGTTCAAGCATGCCAAAAAGCTGGAGACATTCCTGAAAACTGCTTATACATCCCTAAAGCAGCTACTCAGCAGTGTCAGTAGATTTGTACCAGGAGTTGATTGCCAGTCTCACCATGGGAAATAACTACATCCAGCTGCCCAGCCACTCAACCAGGCCCAGCCGAGTAGACAATAACCTGAAGTACCACAGATGAGATCATCTATGGGCTTTCATCTCTGGGGTCTCATTTCCTTATGTATAATGAGAACTAGCCAATCAATCTAAGGCTTTTTAGCTAGTTCGTATACATTGCCTGGTCTGTTTTGGCATTTTGGCCATTTTTTTCTTCCCCTGCTCCTCCCACCCCCACCAACGTTTTTAGAATTCAGGAATCTTGGTGTTTGGGGTAAAGGGAAGGACAGTGGTCCGCGTTAGTATACGACCTCCCAGCTGGTCTTTAAGGGCACCGTAAGGGTGGTTATTATAAACAATACGTTCCATGTTTCCATCCTTCCATAAGAGGTTGAGGTATTTAAAGCTGAGGTCCTTAAAAATACAGCTGCAATTACAAACTAGGATTGGTATCTTAACTGTTGGGTAGTTCCTAACTATATGGCAAAATTAAAATTATAGAAAATAGTTGAGCTTTTAAATAGCTAGGTATATTATTTTCATTTCTGACCTTTTTTATCATATGAAAACAGTTTACTACTAATAAATTTTAGCTGACAGCTACATTATTTAAAAACACTTAACTTTTTCTATCTGTTAGTCTTAAGGTGATTGGGCCTAACGTACTATTTTCTAGAACTAAAGTCATAATTCTTATGCCTGGGTACATTAAGCCCTGCTATGTTGAGAACTAGACATATAATTGAATTCAGTGAATGAGAAGGATAGTCTTGTAGGTTGGTTTTATTTCACTTGCATAAAATTTTACAGGTTCCCTTTTCTTTATTTTAAATAAGCTATCATTTTGATGGAAAAGCTTCAGATTTGAAACTTTGTAAAAACACAGGTATCAATTGGCACACATGCTTTTGACTTAAAATTACTAGTTGTCTCTCTTTTCTTAATTTGTTTAAGGCTGGTGATTACTTTACTTCAAAATACTGCTAGCTTGTTATCCTTGTAAGAAATCATACTAGAAAGTGTGAATTCTAATTTATTGAATTTTCAATTAGATAAACTATATTTATTCATTACTTTTTGAGTATTTTAAATCCAAGAATAAGTTTACTATTAGCTGAGGTTATTGTTGTTACAAGTCTATATGTGACATATCAGTTCCCTGTAAACAAAGCAGTATCATGCCTTTAGAACTATGATGCAGCAGGTAAAGCTATGTAGGATACATGTTGGCCTGTCATCCAGCAGTGAGATTATCCATATATTGAACTCTAGAGTCTTGCCTTTGCAGATGGTCTACCTGCACTGCATGAGCATGGCACACAAACTGCCTTGAATTAGTGGAAGCACTTTTCCTCCAGTGCTTAGTATCCAAGCTATTATGATACTATTTATGATCAATGATAATTTAGGCATTTCCCTTATAAAAGGAACTTAGTTGAAGTCTTTATTCACTGACAGAAATCAGTGTATAAATTGGTGCAGAACCACTCTGGTTTTCCATCTATTACAGTGTCCTTAAATTGTGGTTCTGAGGCCAGCTGATGTTATCAGAAGGGACCATTCCCCTAGAGAAGGACTTCATACTTGGTGAAGTAGAGGGTCAGTTCAAAGGGAAGCCCCTCAGCAGGATGGATTGACAGGGTGGCTACAACAGTGGTCTCAGACATAGCAAATGTTGTGAGGAGGGTGAGGAGCAGGCAGTGTTTTGTTGTTTCGTCCTGTTGTTCATAGAGTCACTGTGAGTTGGAGCTGACTTAGCAGCATCTAGTAACGACGGCAAGGGGATATTGGTGGACATCAAACTGTTTAAAAAAAAAAAAAAGAGGGGGAGAACCCACTACTGTTGAGTCCATTCTGACTCATATCTCACTTTCGATAGCTCTAACAATTCAGTTTCCTATGAGTATAAACATGAAATGAAACTGTTAGAGCTACTGAAAATGAGGGAAAGGGGCTCATTTTTATGCATGCTCAGGT